ACCGCCCAGCGTGCTCTGCCAGGCGAGTGAGTCCTCACCGACAGGACTTGACCTGGCACCCGGTCACTAAGGGCCACTTGTGAACGCAGAGGGCAGCAGCCACGTGCTGCACGTGGGGATCACCACATGCGGCATCTGCCCTCTGTCCCGACGCAGCCCGCGCTCACGGTGGAAACGGAGCGTCTGAGGGAGACCCTGACGGCCTAGCGGAAAGGCCGGGTCACACGAGCAGGCCAGCAGGGCACAGACCCTCTGCCCGGGGCAGCCGGCCTCGCCGCAGCTACTCGTGCGCGGAACACAGACCCCGACACTCCAGAACAAGCCCGATGAGCCCCACGGTGACGCGCCTGAGCCCCGCCCGGCCCCTCGCCCTGCATGTCGCGATGCCCGCGGCCGCACCCAGCCCCAAGCCGGAGAAGAGCCCTGCGCACCTGCGCCGGGGGCCCGAACACGCCAGGTGCCGTGGGATCTGTTTTCACCCCAGGGAACGCCACGCCGGACACAGGGCCTGGGGCAGCAGGCGGGCCCGATCTCAGATCAGGGGCTGCGATCTCAGAGTGACACGCGCCTGCCTGCAGGTGCTGCCAGCGGGAAAGACGCTGGCCCTGCGGGCACCTGCGCGTGACGCTTCCAGCCTCACGCCTTCCCAGCGGCGGTGCAATGAATAAACGAGATGTTTTAGGGTTTCTAAACGAAATTCAAAAGGTCCACGTTTCCTCGGTGAGCCGGAACCTTCCAGCAGGTGCTGGCAGGGACACCCGCCAGGAGCCCCACTCCGAGCAAGCCGGGCCGGGGCGGGGGGGTCGCTTCAGAAGGCGCCGAGACACAAGCCGGAGGCCGGGACCTGGGGCCCCATCGGGCAGCTGAGGGCGCGCGTCTCGCTTTTACCACCGGTGTCTCCTGGGAGCAGCCACCCAGCACCCCAAAGTCTGGCCACTGATACGAAGGGGAACCCGAGCTTTCAGGGTGTCCGACACGCGCTGCTCTGGGATCCGCAGCAAGAGCTTGTTTGCCCAGGGGCCGCCCCGAAGACCTGGGCATGGGGAGGGGCGCGGGCAGCGGGACACGGTGGGCTCACGGCCTCGGGGCGCCCCACCACACCCGCGCTGCCGCTCCGTTTCACGTTCTCCGCGAAACGTGTGTAACCAGCCCCGAGGCCAGAAGAGGAGCTGCGGGTCGCGGCTCAGGGCCAGAGGCTGGCGACAGCGGCGCAGGGGGTTTTATCAGACAGAAATGCTGCTCGCCCTCCCGTGAAGGTCAGCAGATGAGGACGCCAGGGAAACACCACCCCCGGCGGGAAGCGTCCGCTCCGGGAGGCACGCGGGGAGCACGAGTCCAGCCCCCAACAGAACTCCAGCCACGGGGAGCCAGAGGCGCGGGCGAGAAGCACCGCAGCCCGGGCGCTCTTCCCGGCACGACCCTCGACCAGGGCGAGGGGCCCGTCCTCCTGGGTGTCCGCCCGGCCACCAGGAGAAACAGGCCGAGGCCGGGGAGCAGGTCTGCCGGCCTGCGGCTGCCGCCACACAGAGAACCTCCCCGGGCAGGGACGGCCAGCGGGGCCCGGCTCCCGCTCTCCTGCATCGACACCGAGGGCTCGCCACGGCCACCCTGACCGCCCTGAGCGCCCCGGTCTCCTCCGAGGAAGAGAGGACCACGCAGCGCAGCACCGGGAGCCCGTCGGCGTCCCGTCAGCCCCGCCGCCTCTGGCGCTTCGCTGCCCCGAGCAAGAAGACGGAAGTGCCGGCTCTGCTTCGGTCAGGACGCCACCCGTCTCAGCCGCTCCAAGTCCTTCCGCCCGGGACGCGCCCTGCGAGGCTGCAAGGCCGGCTCCTCAGATGGGCCGGGCGGGGAAGCAGCCTGCCCGGAGCGCCCGGCGCAGGGACGGGCCTGCCTCCGCCCCCCAGAGCCCAGCGCGCTCACCAGCGCAACGAGATCGGGGTCCCGGTCAGCCACACGTGCCGCGCCAGCGAGTGCGGTTTGCGCTGCTATTGCTGCAGGACAACCCTGCAAGGTGGCCTGAGACGGCCCCTGGCCCAGCCTGCCGGGGCAGCCCATCTGGACCAGACTGGAGGGAAAACCGCTGAGCGGGGCCCCCCGACCGCTCGGCCACCTCCGCCGTCCCCCTGGGGACCCGCCTGCAGGCTTCCAGGCCCCGCTGGGCTGCGGGTGAGCGGCTGACAGGTGGGCCGCGGCCAGCGCAGGTCAGGAGCCCGTGGGACGTGGCGGCAGACGCAGGTCGAGCCGGCTCTCGTCCCTGCCCCGGGCATCACGGCGAACGAGCAGCCCCGACGCCAGCCGCCGGGGGCCGTGAAGACGGCGCGCCCTCAGCCAAGACACAGGGGCCGCCCCAGCCCCGACACAGCGTCCACCGAGAGACCAGCCCGAGCTCACGCAGCCGCCCGGCGTTCACCCGAGAGCAGGCCCCGTCAAGTAACTGCTCTGCTGTCCACTGGCGCCTCCTGATGCCACGCCACAGCTGGGGCGGGCGTTGCCCGCGGGGCACTCCCTGCGCGGCCAGGGAAGGCGGCTCCCGCAAGGCCAGCGCTGGCCGGTCCCTGAAGGCGCGCCCCCCCCCTCCCTGGGTCTTCCACCAGCTTGGTGCAACGGCCTGACCTCCCGTGCCTCGGGTTTTCAGGAACAGGAAAGACCCGCCTCCGCCGCATCCCACAATTAGCCACGATCAAGATGTGACGCTTCCAGAAAAGCCCATCGTCGCAACATTTACATCCCGGTAAGCCTGTAAATGGCACCAAGTGGAACGACTTCCCACCGCAGGCGCGCAGACCCCGGCAGCGGGGGAGGCTCAGCCGCAGACGAACCCGGCCGCCCGCCCGCCGGGGACACCAGCACGCCAGGCCGAGGGCGGCCCCCAAGGCGTGCGGCTCGGCCCCGCCGCGAGCATCCCGCCGCCGTGGCCGGTGACCCCAGCGCTGAACATAGCGGAAGCCCCCCGGAAAAGAAAGGGCGCGTGGGCGTCCACACACACACATCCCGCCACGTCCTCCCCAGGAGTTGAAGAAAAGGCGACGCGCTCGAGGGCAGCAGCCGAGCACGGGCGCCCGCACGCAGGGCAGAGGGGCGCGGGCAGCGCTCACGGAACGGCCCGTCCGCGCCTCCACGCCGCGGGGAGGGAGACCAGCCCGCGGGAAAGGCACAGGGCGCGACCAGCAAGGGCGCCCCCCGCGACGGCGGAGCCCCAGGAGCGGGCCTGTCATTAGCAGCGGGGACGGACAGGACGGCGAGGTCCTCAGGGCTTTGATCGCGGCCTGTAATTTCCACCAGCAAGAGCCGCTCACGGCATCCGGCGCCCAGACAGCAGCCCCCACCCGGACGCGGCCTCCAGCGTCCTCGAGCGAGGCCCCAGAGCGCGGGGTGAGGGTGCAGGCGCGCCCTGGGGTGCACACGGGGAGCTGCTGAGGTGCGCCCGGCGCCGCCTGACTTTACAACAGGCCTGACCTTCCTGACCTCGACGCAGGGTGCCCGGAGGCCAGGCTGGCTGTCGTCTCCCCAACGGGCCCGCACTATGGGGCATCGATGTCCGGGGTTCCCCCACAACTGTGCCCCAAAGCGCCCCCACCCCTGTGCAGAGACGCCCCGCGTCAGGCTGGACATTTCATTCCTGAACCCAAGCTCTGCGGGCATCGGGGATGGTCACCACGCACGGCCAGGCCAGGGTGCTGTGGCCTGGAGGGAAGCAGGAGGCCTGACTAGCCGCGCAGTGGAGCCCAGCGGCACACAGGAGGCCTCATGTGGGGCCCAAAACACCTGAAGCCTCTGCCCGGCCTGCCGGCCAGCTCCAGCCCACTGGGGGACAGGGCGGGCGCCCGGGACAGCCCACCGAGCGCAAAGGCGCCCCGGAAAGGAAAGGGCGAGTGCAGGCTGCCGAACGCGCGAGCAACGCGGGACACGGTCTCCTCCACGACCCCGACAGCCGCTTCTCCGAGCAGGCCCTTGGGAGTGGACGCCGCCCGCACTCCCACGGTTTCCAGAGAGGCCCGGCAGCGAGGCTCGGCCTGTGGTGACCGCCGGCGTGGGGGGTCCTGAGCGGAACGTGGGCTCCAGGGGCGCTTGGGGAGGTGACATCCCCGCGACGGCCGCGGCCCTTGTCCTCAGCCCAGCGCGCTTGACCCAGAGTGAACCCCGATGGCCGCGCTGGGGGCCTCTTCCCAGCCAGACGCCGGGTCCCTGGAGAAACAAGGACAGCCGGCCGCGGGGGCCACAGACCCCCGGCCCGACGGCAGCCGGCGGGCGGGCAGAGGGGCAGGCCGGGCGGGCGGCGGTCAGCGCCTGGCTGGGCACGGGGACCTTCCTGCCCTTCCTCCAGAGCGCGGCCGGGTCAGCGAGCACAGGCCGTCACCGCGCTGGCTCTGCCGGCGGACACGGCGCTGCCCTCCACGGGGCTGGCCGGACACGCGCTGCCCTCCACGGGGCTGGCCGGACACGCGCTGCCGGACACGCGCTGCCCCCCACGGCCGGGCCGGGCCGGGCCGCCACTTCCGCAGCGCCGGGCGCGCCCGCCAGGAGGCCGCGGAGGCCGCAGGTGACCGCGGGACGGAGGCCGCCGGCCGAGCAGCGCGCGCCGCGCCGGGCGCCCCTCCCCGCCCCCGCCCCGCCCCGTCCCGTCCCGCCCGGCCGCCGCGCCCCGCGCCCCCCGACCCCGCGCCCCGACCCCGCGCCCCGACCCCGCGCGCCCGCCCCCGCCCCCGCCCCGCCCCCCCAGGCCGCGCGCCCGGCCCGGCGCGCCGCCAGCCGCCGGAGCCCGCGCCCCCCGCGCCCCCCGCGTCCCCCGCGCCCCCCCGCCCCCCCCGCGCCCCCCGCGTCACGTGCTCCCGCGACAAAGGTCCGCGCCCCCGCCCGGCCCGCCCGGCCCCCCGCCCCGCCCCGCCCCGCGCCCCCCGGCCCGGCCCCCGCCCCCCCGCCCCCCGGCCCGCCCCCCGCCCGCGCCCCGCGCCCCCCGCCCGCCCGCGCCCCCGCCCGCCCGGCCCCCCGCAGGTGCGCACCGCCGTGGGCTGGCTGATCTCGAACAGGTCCAGCCGGTTGGCGTTCCAGTGCCGGATGATGTCGCCCAGCTTCCGCCGCTCCTCGTCGCGGCCGCCCGCCGACATCCTCGCGCCCCCGCCGCGGGCCCCCCGCCGCCGCCCGAGCGCCCGCCGGTGCCCGCCGGTGCCCGCCGCGCCGCGCCTCGGCCGGCCCGCCCCGCGTGCGCGCGCCCGCGCCGCCGTGCGCGCCCCCGCGCCGCCGCCGCCGCCGCCGTGCGCGCGCCCCTCCCCCGGCCGCCGTGCGGGGCCGGGCCGGCGCGGGGCGGGGGCGCGCGCGGGGCGGGGGCGCGCGCGGGCGGGGCGCGCGGGGCCGGGCCGGGGGTCGGGTCCGCGCGGTCCGGGCTCGCCGGGCCGGGGACGGGCGGCCGGGTCGGTACGCGCGCCGGCTCCGGGCCGGTGACCCCGGGTCGACGCGGGGCCGGGCCCGAGGGCGGGGCGAGGCCCGGCGCGAACCGGTTGTGCCGGTTTCTGGCCCGGCCGGCCGAGGTGGGGGGGGCGGGGGTGAGCTCAGGTGGCGCCGGGGCGGCCCGCCCGGGAGAGCCCCCCGCGCCCGGGACCCGGAGGGGCGCCGGCCGCTGGCCGCCCCGCGCGCGGCTCGAGGGCGACGAGTCCCTGCGCCCGGGCGCGCCCTTGTCGGGGCGTCCCTGCGCCCCCCCGGGCCCCTGGCCCGCCGGCGCGGCCCCGGCCCCGCGGCCCCACGCGCCCCGCCCGCCTCAGCGCCCGGGACGCCCCTGCGAAGTCTGGGGTCTCGGGAGGCTCCCGGAGTCCCGCCCCCCACCTCCCGGGACCGCGGCGGGCAAATCTGCCCGCAGGCCGGTCCCCGCGCAGCCCCGCACCCCACTCCTTGGGGGCGCAGAGGAGGGGGCTCCGCCGGCCCCCCCACAGCTCCCCCCCCCCCCCCCGCGCGCCCCGCCGCCCCGGGGAGGCCGGCCGGCCCTGCGGCCCCCCCCCGCGCCCCCTCCCCTGGCGGAGCGGCGGGCCGCCTTCTCACTGACGGAGGCTTAGCGGCAGCCCGACGCCCCCACAATCCTGGGGTCCTCCCGCGTCAGACGGGGCCAAGCAGCGTGTGCGGGCGAGCGCCCCCGAGCCGAGCCGCGCCCCCGAGCCGCGCGCGGGCCCCACCGCGTTCCGGGGCGTGAGTGGACGCGCAGCCGCTGCGCTCCGCTCCTGCGCTCGCTGTATTTGAAAAATAATCTGTTACCCCAGAAGTGCTGGATAAGATAGACCCGGGGCTCCCGGGCACCCCGCTTCACGGGCGGGAGCAGACGCGGGACCCGCGGGGACGCAGAGGACGCGGCTGTGCCGAGCGGAGGTGCCAAGAGTTTCACTCAGTTGTTTATTTTCAGCTGAGGTCATGTCGGGGTGCCCCATGGGTCTGCGCCGCCGTGCACCCCACCCCACTCTCCCGTGCCCGCAGCCCAGGGTGCTTCCCCCCACCCCCCAGCTCTGGCTCTGGACGTGCCTGCGGAGGCCGGTTTTGCAGATCATGTTTATCTGACTGTGAATTTAGGTTTTTTTCATCTTCGAGTGGTTTTTAGGTGTTTCCTGCTTTACACTCACTGGAGGGTTTCCCTTTAAAACCCTGTTTTATTTCACTGTTAAGAACAGCAGACGCCCTTGAGGCCAGCACCCTCCGCAGGTTCCTCGCTTCCCGCCGCCCGAGTCGCCCCGGAGGCCTGAGGGCCCGCTCGGCCGGCTTGCCCTGCTCTGCGCTTTCTGGCCACGCTCCGAGCGCTCGTGTTTCTCTGAAATATGAAAACCAGGTTCCAAGAGGAGCCAACGTAATGAACTTATTCCCGCGCCTTTTCTCAGACTGGAGAACTGGGAGCGCCAGAGAAAAGGCGAGGGGGAGGCCGCCGGGAGGGGTGACCCGCCGCACCGCGGGACCCCCAGGCCGGGACCGGCACCGGAGAGGAGACTCAGAGGACGCCCTTGGGACGAGCCTTGGGAGCCGGTGGCAGCCCCGAGGCCAGGCAGGGCGCGGGAGGGGCCGGGCAGAGAGTGAAGGGCCAGGGGCCCCTCTCCTTGCCCGAGGCCGGCGGCCCGCTTGCTGATTCAGTGCCCGGCAGGCGGGTGCCGGCAGGTGGAGCGCTCAGGAGTAGGCCGCGGCCCCTGAGTGAGGAGGAAATACGTTTATTGAATTTATTAAATGCGGTAAAACTGTGTTTCCACGTACCTGATATTTAGTGAAATTTTAGGCTACGAGTAGAATTTCCAGTAAACGTGTGTGTGGTGTGTAGGTGGTCTGTGTGGCTGTATGTGATATATGTGTAATGCATGTGTGGTGTGTGTGGTATGTGGTGTGTGTGTGGTGTGGAGTATGTGTGGTGTGTGTGGTGTGGTGTGTTGGTGTGTGTGGGGGGTGTGGTATGTGGTGTGGTGTGTGTGGTGTGTGTGGGGGGTGGGTGTGTGGGGTGGGTGTGGGGTATATGGGGTATATGGGGTATATATATGTGGTATGGGTGTGTGGGGTATATGGGGTATGTGTGTGGTGTATGGTGTGGTGTGTTTGGGGTGGGTGTGTGTGGGGTGGGTGTGTGTGGTGTGGGTGGGTGTGGGGTGTGTGTGGTGTGTGTGTGGTGTATGGTGTGTTGTGGGTGTGTGTGGTGTGTGGGGTGTGTTTGTGTGGTGTGGGTGTGGTGTGTAGGGTGTGTGGGTGTGTGGTGTGTAGGGTGTGTGGGGGTGTGGGGTGTGTGGGGTGCGTGTGGTGTGTGTGTGGTGTATGGTGTGTGTGGTGTGGGGTGTGTGTTGTGTGGGTGTGTGTGGTATGTGGGCTGTGTGTGGTGTGTGGGGTGTGTTTGTGTGGTGTGGGTGGGTGTGTGGTGTGGTGTGTGTGTGTGGTGTGTGTGGTTGTGTGGTATGTGGTGTGGTGTGGTGTATGGTGGGGTGTATGTGGTGTGGGGTGTGTGGGTATGTGTGTGTGGGGTGTGTGTGGTGTGGGGTGTGTGTGGTGTGTGTGGTGTATGGTGTGGTGTGTGTGGTGTGGGGTGTGTGTCGTGTGGGTGTGTGTGGTATGTGGGGTGTGTGCAGTGTGTTTATGGTGTGTGTGTGTGGTGTGTGTGTGTGGTGTGGAGGTGTGGGTATGCGTGTGGGGGGTGTGTTTGTGTGTAGGGTGTGGGGTGGGTGTGGCGTGTGGGGTGTGTGTGGTATGTGTGGTGTGTGGGGTGTGTGTGAGGTGGGGGGGTGTGCCTGTGGGGGGGGTGGTGTGTTGTGTGTGTGGTTTGTTGGTGTGGGGGTGTGGTGTGTTGTGTGTGTGGTTTGTCGGTGTGGGGGGCTGTGCGTGGGGGGTGCGGGGTGTTGTGTGTGTTCGCAGCGGGAGCGACAGGCCTTGCTGACACCAGCACTTCTCAGCACGCTGGGGGTCCCGGCGCCCCGGGCTGGGCGTGGGCGGGGCTGGGCCTGTGGTGCGGTTGGAGCGGCTCCTGCTGGGCGTGGACCGAGGCCGGGGTAGCCGTCGAGAGCCTGGGACTGGCCACGGCCCTCACTGGGGGGCGGGAGGCCGGGCGGGGTCACTGAGGGCCGAGACCATGAACACCAGCCAGAGGACCCCTCCGGACGAAAGGTGGGCCCTGGAACGTTCCGGACAGAATCCGCGGACATGTTTAGAGTCCTAGAGGCGCGCGCGAGAGTGACGCCCACGGCGGGGCGACAGGCCGTGAAATGGGACTGGGCAGGAATCGTGGGTGTGCCCACCGCGGGGCACTGACCGCCCTGGGCAGGACGGATGCGCTTGCGGCCAGGACTCGCCAGTGGCGCCTGCTGGGAGGGTGAGAGCGGGGTGCGGTGGGGACCGGCTCCCTGCAGCCCAGCCCCCCGTTCAGCGAGCCCCCTGCCTCTCCCAGCCCCGAGCCGGGATCTGGCCCTGGAGCACCCCGCTTCCTGCGGCCGCCCCACGACGCCTGCTCCTCTCCTCATCGCTGCAGCGGAGCCTTCGCAACACGAAATACAGCAAGAAAACGTTGAGAGAATGAGCTGGAAACCCCAGACGTGGTCAGTGCTGACGCCCAAAATAGCAGCAGTGGGCCGCCCCGGGGCGCAGAGGGTGAGCGCTGGGTGGCGAAGCCGCCCGCAGCCTCTGCAGCGCCGGAGGGTCCCGCATGGCGCGCAGACCTCTCCTGCCGCCCGCTGCTCCCCTCAGCAGTGTCCTTCGGTCCTTCTGCCTGCTTTGCTCCCCGCTCTGGCTCTGGTGGATTCTCTCACCCTCCCGCGCTCCTGACTGTACCCAGTGCTTATAAAAATAAATAAATCTTTAAAAACAACAACAACAAAACAGCAGCAGAGCGAGCCCCGGAGAGCGTGTGGGGCGGGAGACCGCCCGAGGCCGCGGCCAGCAGAGCGGCAGAGCTGAACTCCCCGGACATCTGAACGTGGGGTCTTCAGGCCAAGCAGCGCCTCCGGGTAGGACTCCCCGAGATGCCAGGGGCCGCGGTGGGCGCAGGGCGCAGGAGGCCCTGGACAGACAAAGGGCGCGAAGGCCGGGCGGCTCACGGGCGGGAGAGGAAACCCCGAATCTGAAGGTTTTATGAGTATTTTATTATTGAAACGCTCTGCGCCAGCCCTCGTGTGGGCTCAGCCTGCAGCGGGCTGCCTGCGCCCTCCAGGCCACGTGGCCGTCCCCCCTCGGCAGCCACGTGCTCCTGTCACGTCCTCAGCCCCGCTGGGGAAGGGCGCGCTCCCTGTCCGCGCCCCAATCCCAAGGCTGTTCCCAGCGCCAGGCCTCCTGGGGCCGCCGGCCTCCCGCCCTTCTTGACCCGCGGAGCCGTCTGTGTGCCCAGCCCGGGCCCTTCCCCGCCGCCCCACAGGCTTGGCCCTGGAGATGGTCTCTGGCGCAGCCCCGCGCCCGCCGCCTCCCCGCCGGCCCTCCCTGCCCTGCCCCGCGCCTGCGCCCACCGGCTTCCGACAGTCCACGTGAGAGGTTCGTGAAGCCCAGGCAAGTCCTCTCTGCGCACCCGCGGCCCCAGCCCCCCAGCCTCTCCCCTCTCCCTGCTCCCGGGCCCCTCACCCGCCGCTGACACCCCGATCCGCACAGGCTGGGAGTTGCCCTTGCCGTTCCCGCCTCTGCGCACA